AGAGGTCCTAGAAGAATATCGGACCCTTGATCAAATGGATCAAACGGATTCCCAAGAAATTATACGAGACAGAAAATTCTTCTCATTTTATCTGCCACATCGCGCAGTAATAAAACCCGATAGCAAAACCACTAAAGTCCGAGTGGTATTTAACGCGTCCTAACTCTCTCAGTCAGGTCTGCCCCTGAATGACGTACTCCATACAGGCCCTATACTGCAAAATGATCTAATGCTCATAATAATCAGGTGGCGGTTATATAAGTATTTAACAGCGATATTGAGAAAATAAATCGCCAGATATATGCCCACAAGGAAGAACAAGACTTCCAACGAATTCTCTTTCGTAAATCTCCAAGTAGCCCAATAGAAGACTACAAACTAAAAACAGTGACGTTTAGTATGAACTGTGCCCCAAACTTAGCCATAAGAACTCTGCATTAGCTATCAGACTCCCAAACAAGATTTGCTCAAGTCTCAAAAATTCTAGTCAACGAAACTTATGTTGACGATATACTCTCTGGCGGACACGATCTGTATTCAGCAAAAACATCAGTATCTCAGACAATCCAAGTACTGATGTCCGCCAGATTTCCATTCAAGAAAATCATAGCAAATCACAGATCACTATTAAGCCAAATATCAGAAACACATCTCCTTGACTCAGACTATCTACACTTTCATCATACGATCACTACTAAAACTATCGGAATTGGATGGATTGCGTTGACGGATACATTCTCATATTCCATTGTCTCCATTTAAGACACAAACACTGCCACAAAAACACAAATATTGTCAGCAGTCGCGAAACTTTTCGATCCGGCAGGGCAGTACTCCTTACTAAGTTAGTAAAGTTGATTCAAACTCTACTTGATCAGCCACCTCATGAGCTAAGTTTATGGAGTGATTCCTCCATCGTACTAGCTTGATTGGAAAAACCTCCATGGACATGGAAAGCATATGTGTCCAATAGAAACTCTGAAATTCTACAAAACGTGAATAACGCTTCTTGGCGACACGTTACCACCTCTCATAATCCAGCTGATTTAGGTACACGTGGTATTAAACCTCAAGAGCTTGCCGACTCTTTCCTGTGGTAGACTGGTCCAGAATGGCTAATCAAACTGTCCGAATTCTGGCCGAAAACAACCTCCACGCACTCCTCTCCACCAGAACAACGAAAGCAGATGCACACCATGCAACCGAAAACGCCGATCTGTTAGAACGCTTCTCATCCTAATCCAGGGCACTTAGAACGGTAGGTTACTTGTTGTGATTCGTCAGCAAGGCAAAAAGAATGCCTTTTCCCTCCTCCCGCTGTAAGATCCAAGATGAAATGAACCAAGAAAAAACGTTACTCATTCAGAACGCTCAGCATCATCACAATGGGAATGCGATCTCCACTCTGTCAGCATCCAAGGCTATTAGCAAAACTCTCTTAACTCTCAACCCGTTCCTAGATAAGGCAGGGGCTTAAAGCGAGAATGAACGTCTCAGTTACGCTGCACATAACTACAATGAGCGCCATCGCTTTCCTACACTCGACCTTATTGTATGCCGAAAAGCAACTGATAATTCGCATGATCCATCAAGAATTCTATATACCCGGTTTAAAACAGCAAATAAAAAACCTGCTTATTTCAATGTCAAACTTGCACACTATATAAACAACGAACGCACAACATTCTCACTTCCATTCTCCGAACAGCATCACTCAAAGGCTTACGTTTGTGTTTTTGTGTGTTTTGTCACAAAGCCCATATACCTCGAACTTTACTCCGATTTAAGTGCCGAAGCGTTCAAAGCCACATTTGCTCGTTTCGTTGGCAGACGCGGTATACCCCACACAATGAGTTCAGATAATGAACGAATATTTATAGGAGAAAATTGTAGTCTCAATAAGGATCTCCTCGCATTTCGCGCAGAGATATCTGAAGATATCAGCAGGAAATATGCCCCCGCACCCCACATGGGAAGATGCTTCGGCTATTAAATTCTACTAAAAACTTAACACCCATACAATTAAACAGTTAATTAATCATCAAGGATATTGGTATATTCGGAACGAACGGTGAAGCTGTGATTAACGGCAGACATGTCACCAGTGTTCTCGACGTGCGTAACTTCCGAGGACCTAACATCGACATGAATTACTATCTCACCGCAGCAAAGAAATGCACCTGCCTCTGTGTGTCAACATGCAAAAGTAAGGTTCGTCGTCGTTGCAATCTTAACAGACAGTAGAATGATTTTCTACTTAACTTCCGCACCTGCTTTCTGAGAACACTCATCAGCAACTCAACAAAAGGGATCTGTGGAATGCCATGGCTACGAAAACATCTGCTTTTCGACAGTGTTGATTTAACGCGTGGTGACTACCTCGTAAATATAGTGTTCTGATTCTCATCGACTAAGTTGTAATAAATAGACAACTCAGACTCCACTAAGCCTTATCACCTCCACTCCTAACACAATATGTATGTACGGATATACTTACATATGCCTGTAGTAGTTGTTGGTTATAGCCTACTAGCAACCACACTATCCACTGACCGAACTAATATCCGCACAAAAAGAAGGTGACAAAAAATCTAACAAAGCGACCAGCGAGCTAAGTGGAATTGGCGTGGGTCAATAACGCGTGCAATAACAAAAATTATGGGCAAAAACAAACGAAACTAAATCTACCAACGATATAAACAAAAAAGGTCGCACGAAAATAGTGAACAGGCAAACAACTATATAAATAGAAAATAAATAAAATATATTTTTGGGGTGTACCCGAGGTTCAAACATATTGGTTACTGTATTTATTTATTTTACTGTATTTAATTAAAACACGCACTTTTGGTTTTAAATATTATGTGCAAATATAAGCTACTTGCTGTATTTATTAATATATTTTATTAAACAAAATTATTATTTGGCATTGATATATATAATTATTAAGTTATGTGTGAACTTCTTCTTCTTTTTTTAAATTTTCCATCTAATTCTTTATGTTATTTTGTATATTTTGTATGTATTTTGAATGCGTTGACGGATACATTCTCATATTCCATTGACCCCCTTCCCGACACAAACACTGCCACAAAAACGCAAATATTGTCAACAGTCGGGAAACTTTTCGATCCGGCAGGATGGCTATCACTTATAATGATAACTGCCAAAACTCTACTTCAACAGCTCTGGATAGAAGGAACAGACTAATGATCGAAAATTCTACGAAATTATACGGTTCCTTACAAAAGGTTTCGAGACCGGAGACAAATCTTGTATGACCTAGAGAGGTTATATAGCGACTCATGCCCAGAGTATATTCAAGTAATGGAAGGAACACTTCTCTCGCCTGCTTAATGGCTGTGAAAATGGCATACCAGTAGATGTCCAGCCCGATTCCCCAATCGATGATGATGAAACAAATGTTTCGTTCCACGACTATGAAGAAGTTCTAATAGTAATTAAAGAGCTGAACGAATGCATTCAGTAATGCGTTAGGTCTTTTAAAAGAACTGTGATAAGAGATTCGATTCGCACCACCTTTTCGTCGGTTTTTAAAGCAGCCATCAGTGCCATGAATTGGAACTGCATCTACGCCGCTATGTTGGAAGATCGCTGCGGTGGCCAGGTCATGTGGTCCGGGAGAATAAGAATACTCCAGTTTTAGAAGTTTTCGATGCAGTACCTACAGGGTAAGACCTCTGCTCCGTTTAAAAGACCCGGTAGAATAGGACTTGACTGCACGCTGTATTTCCAGTTGCGACAAAATACTTAATCATTGTTCAAAGGTAATTTTATTCTCTTTAATTGCTTGCAGCTATAAATTTTGACCATCGGCTTTGTTTTTGGTGCCAGTACAGGCTGCCATTATTTTTAAATTATTATAGTGAGCGTACGATTTTTTGTGTCTATATTAATGAAGATTTTTTAATTCAGTAAATACATTTGTAGAGCTCGGTGATTGGGTGCAGAAGGAACAATAGCAATTCTGTATATATTGCTTGGCTGTTAGAGCTTTTTGTAAAGCAATATAGCGTTTTTCTTGTTATTTTACCGGTTTTTTTAATGCTAGCAATCGGAGTTAGTTTATGTCGTGTAGAAAATTTAGATTAGTGATTTTGCGGTAATTCATAGCATAGAGTCTAGATATGTAGAAGTTAAGTCCACTACAGAACCCAGGCCTTAAATGTACCAGTATTTCTTAAGTCCCCCGAGGCAGCTGTTTTTGTTGTAACCGCAAAAATACTCTCAAATTGGTTTTCAGGGATTAATTCAGCAGTGGCAGGTATGCCTTAGTGAGAGTAAAATCTTTTAACCCTTACCCGCGGGGAGCTCTAAATCTTTGCCTGGAATGGGTGGCGGAGTACGCCAGTCTCTGGAATAGAGTTTATAGAGGTATTTCTGCCAATCACATTTAAGGCCTGTCGATAAGTAGTTCTGTACTGCGGATCTTTTCTACAGAGCTGAATACGGTCCATTTGATCCCTTCCGTATGTGCCTAGATGGCAGTTAGGTTTCTAGTAAATGCCTACGAGCAGTATAGCGTTATACCCCTTGACCAAAGGTGATTTGATATCTCACCTGTTTGGCCATAAACATATGGAGGCCCTAACTCAAAAATAGTTCCGATCCCACCGCAACTAAATGTTTTCCCATCAGCTTATTCTATCAGGCCGATGCATTTTTCCTAGACATCCAATAATTTTAAGAACATTAATTTTTCTATTGCTTCTATGCGGATGTCATATATCCATATGAAATAATTAGTATTAATATTATGCTTAAAGATATAAAGTATTCGAGTTGGAATTTTTTATTCAAAACATGATCGGTTATATTTTAAATCTCTTTCGCCATTGAGTTAGGTAAACATATTTCTTTACTTCCAACTATATATATGATTTACATAACAAATGCCAACAATGATGTAATCTAAAATAACCAATTGAGCTGTGTCAATGCCACTACCGACTAAGGGCGTATATGATGAAACTTGAAACTCTGTTCTTAAAATTGCATCGTCAGTGCTAAGCTGTTGCTCATAACGTGCATACACTACTAAAAACAACATATCTGTTTTATACTGACACTCAACCAAAAATTACCAAAATTTGGTATGTGAATTTAAATTTTTAAAGTTTCTGGTCATTGTATTAAATTGGGAATATTGACTACATTTAAATATATATAAAGTATAGCGTCTAAGAAAATATTTTAATGTTATATACACTGTTACTATAAAATGACTTTCCTTACGATTAATGTGATTAGTTGAGTAAGTTCTTTATAAGTTAATAAAAACAGGTTCTTCGTCATTAAACACATGCTCCTATATGCATGAACGTAAATATATATATTAGTATATAAACATATATGTGAATTCGTGTACTTGTAGGGAATATTTGTTTCTACAACATGTTCATAATCGAACTTGTTTTATGTGAAAGTCTTTTCATTTCATTCATTTATATTCAGTAAAAAGAATTTCCGATTTTAAGAACAAATTGTGAGTATTCGTTAATGTAAGCACAGAACTTTACCTTGATAAATTTTTTCATATATGGAAAAATAGTAAATAAATAATACCTACGTGATTATATGTGGCATTAACAAACGATAACACAACTACTTTTATGTGTTGGCTTGTAATTTTATTGACTTCATAATGTTAAACTTATTTGTTTTATTAAATATTAATTTAAATTTCTATTTAACACTGAATTATTTTATGATTACAATAACATTACATACTTCATATTGTATATAATGTTCATTTTATTTTTTTTGTATGATCAAATTGAAATTCTTTTGGAAATTCCAGCTAATGCGTCAAAATCGGCGTACATTCGCTCGTGCCTTTTTATTTGTACGCCTGCATCGTACACCGAGTTATCATATGTTTGATTTTTTAATCAAATCTAATGGTCGACGTACTCTGGAACATTCATCGAACACTAAGGGTTTCAGGCAGCATGCACAGCATGACCATTAGAAATTTATCTATCGTGGGTGCAGCCAGATCAGATTAAAGCAAAAGAAAGTGTTAAAATTGCATCTAAATATGTATTTACGGTGTTTAGCTCGTCTAAATATTATACGTAGCGCAAGAGCAGTCTCGAAAGCTACTGCTCTGATTTTTATAAAACGGTTTTAATTCTTTGTTGGCGTTGGCAATTAGATTTCGCGGTCATTAAAGCTACGTTCGGATATAATTTTAAGTGAATATATAAAAGCAAAAAATTGCTGATTTTTAATTTAACCTATGAAACCCATATAAAAGGAGTATCTCTGGACGATGTGAGAAGCAGGTGCTAATTAAAATTATTCGAGATATTTCACAATTCCAATAGCAACAACGGTCTAGTTCAAACATCCATTTATTATTTTCTTCAGACGTCTTTTAAGTTCAAGAGGGCACTGAATATAAGCCGAGATCTTCGAAGATCAGTATGACCTTGTTTTTGAAGTATTAAATGAAATATTTAATAAATATTTTGAATATTTATAACTTTTAATCTATTATCTACAGTAATGAATATATTGTTGCATATTAGTTCCTTTCCTATGTTATAGGAACTATGTACCTGCATGTATTGGTATTGAAGTAAAGGCTGAATCAAAATAATGTATACATATTTGCAGAGAGATTTTATCAAAATGTTTTTGTTTTGGTATCTCTTAGTGGTTGCTTGGAAGGGTTGGCATATTAAACAAAATGTTCAAATGGTTCTAAAAGAAATTTGCAACACATTTTCTAAATTTATTCGTTCATTGTTACAGACGCGCTCGCAGTGGCACCTGATTGTACGTGAATATTTCATAAACATGCACCGAACTGAAAGTAGCGAGAAACAAAATATGTCTTCTGCAGTATGCCAACCTACTAAAGTTTGTCACATGGTTAAGCGCGCAGATTTTGAAGGATATGGATTCAATTTACATTCAGAGAAAATGAAGCCCGGACAATATATAGGTAAAGTTGATCCACAGTCTCCAGCAGAAGCAGCGGGGTTAAAAGAAGGTGACCGAATTATTGAAGTAAATGGCGTCAACATCAATCAAGAGTCCCATAAGCAAGTTGTGCAAAGAATTAAGGCCATGTCAAATGAAGTGCGACTGTTAATAGTTTTAAATGTTCGAAAAGATGACGAAACTCCCACTGAAGCTCGTTTAAATGAGACAGAAATAAAACAATCTTACCATATCGATGAAAACCTAAGAGGGGACTATGGGACCAAACATGAATTGCCAGGATTCAGTAAAAGCATTAACAATATTAGTGTGACAAGCTCGAAACGACCTATCAACGGAGATGTCGACACAAATAAGCATGAAATCAGTTTTGCTAATTTAAATAATGTCAATGAAATTTTGCTGCGAAAACAAGATGAAATTCTTTTTCCTTCAACAACTTTTCATACATCGTCCTCTCTAAGTGTAATGAAAACCCCAACAAATTTCAATGAAACTCCAAGCGGGGGGTTGGATCTTCCAATGACTGTAGCAGAAATGCGGGCAAAATTACTTTCTAAAAAAAAGTATGATCCGAAAAATGAGATTGTAGACCTAAGAAAAAAATTCGAAATAATTCAAAAACTTTGAAAATATTTCTAGTTCATAGAGAAGATGAACATTCATTAACAGCATTGTTTTGAATTTGAAGATAATAAAATTTACTACCCAAATATTGAAATGTATGTATGTATATAAATCTATCAACTGACATGAAGCCTCTATAAGAAATTTATAATCATTCTCATTAGTTTTTGTCTTGAAATATATAAAGAAGCTTAAGATTATATGACTTAATATGGAAAATAGACATTGATAATTTAAAGTCCAAATTAATTTCTTTTATTATTTTGAGATGGCCACGTCTGCATCTCGGGGATCAAATAACGAATACTGACTAGACTTTTATTCACTTCACGGCATTAGCTGAATAAAAAAGAAAATAAGTTTCTATAATTCTACCCCTTTGCCCCCGAGAGGAGGCTCTCACTCATCAAGTGATGCACTAAAGAGGTGACTATCGCTCACCACTTGGTTTGCTGCAGTAACTCGATACGCCGGACTAACTGTTTTCGTTTGCTTTCTTCGACGCGGGCTCTTATACGGCATTTCCACGATAGCCCAATTACGTGTTTCGCTCTCTCAATCGTAATTCGAACTCCAAATACATGCCGAATTATTTAATTTGCCATACAAATTTTCGTGAGCGAATTACAAAACTGACAAAACTGTCTAACTGCGTGCCGTGTGAATGGGGGTAATTCGCATTCGTAATTGAGAGATGGAAACACGTAATTGGGCCGTCGTAGAAATGCCGTATTACGCTCTTTATATTTAATCTTACAAAGTAAAAAGGGAAATTAATATAAGATTCTCTTACCTGAGATTAGTTCGAACCTGACAGTCGTGACAGTGACACAGCAGAATTTAAAGTTTTTCATCCTTAAAAGCATGGAACGTGGTCTTGAATTAAGTTTAAGTGAAGATGAGTTAGATTTCACAATACTTAACGAGGATATTTTACCGCAAAAAATTTGATGGAAATACATTATCTCCTTACTCGATATGGCGAAATTGGCGGAATGTAACCATCGAAGAAACGTGGGCGTTTATTGGTGTGATAATAAATATGGGGACGATTCCGTTGGCAAATTTGTAAGAATATTCGTCACGGAGTGATGTCAGCTACATTCCTTTTTATTCGAACAAGTTTACAAGAGACAGATTCAATCAGATTTTTTTTTAATGCTTTATCTAGATACAATCCGAAGACAAGATGCAGGACCACGAACACGCTTACAGCTAGTTGGCAGTTTTCTGGATTACAAAAACTCAAAATTTGTACACTATTTTACACCGAGAAGAGAACTTTGTGTGGATGAATCTACGATCAAGTTCAAAGGTCGGGTCTCTTTCATTACTTACAACCCGAAGAAACTGACCGAATGGCGGATTCTTGTTTATACAATGGCAGTCTCATCTACCGGTTACTTGTGTGGCATTCTTTCTTATTATGGAAGTTTGACAACAGACAGCTTGATAAAGCGCGACCTACCGGTGACAACGAGAATACCATTGCATCTGTATTCAATGCTGCTGGAAAAACTACCTGGTGCACAAGGACATCATATGTTCACCTATCGTTATTACACGAGCTATAAGTTGGCCGAAGAAATATTGAAATTAAAATACCACCTTAAAGGAACTATCTTAACAAACAGTAAGCATCTACCAGAAAAAAAAAGAAAAAAAAAAAACTCAACAGTATCATACTGGAAAAAAACCTTATTTTTTTGTGGTGAAAGAACAAGACGGATGTCACATGCTTGAACAACTGGAATAGCACAGGAATGACGCCTGTAAAAGGAATTTTACGAGGTGCTGTAGAAGTGACCTTCAAGAAACCTATTGTAATAATATATTACATCAAACATATGGGCGGTGTCGATCGTGCCATCAGTATGCTTCAACGTACTGTTTCCTAAGAATATCTCTGAAATGGTGGCCTAAACTATTTTTTGGAGTCTGGAGATTTGTTTAATCAATTCATATATTTTATATACAACCACTAAACAACAGAGAACCGAACGGACGCTTAATCACCTACGATATTTGAAGATATTAGTCAAGCAATTGACTGGAGATTTCCAACTCCCGCGCGACTGAGCCTCCATTTCAATTCACTTCAATCCGAAAACATCCGCCTAAATAGAAAGGTGCATAGCATTCTATTTTATATGTTGCTTTATGTGTGTAATCATTTTAAGTTAGATGTAAGAAATTCACCAAATACGCGCGAAAAAGGTTCCGAGTGCAAAGGACTAAATTTGGGTGCGGCAAATGACTGTTTACTCACTGCTTAACACACAACTATGAATAAGTAAAATAACTCTGCTAATATGTGAACCTCAAGCATTGTATGGACTTACAGCTGTTGACAGCTACATAGAAGCGATGCTCCCTTTGAACCGAATATTCCTTTTGCCCATCAAAGCAAGCATTTTCATAATTTGTTTTACAACTTTATTTTATTAAATCATATTCTAAGCAATTTATTCAAAATTCATGTTTAGATATTTTTATACCAAAAACCCAGTGAAATGCATGAATTAAGTGAGAAACCTAATTAGAAAGAAATATTGATATTAAGATAAAATGTTTACTTTTAAAGTGTAAATTTTTAATAGCTATAGGGAAGTTTAAAAAGAAAAACAATTTAAATTTAGAAAAATGCATGAAATCTTTATTTGAATCAAAATAGTTTATTGTTTGAAGATTATTTCTTGCAAATGTTGACCGTGACTGCGCCTCAAATGTTCCATCCGCTTAGTCCAATTTTGGCATACTCTTTCCAACATTTCGACCGGTATCTCACGAATAAATGCTTCAATGTTGCAAAAAAAAGCATAATATCATCTCACGGTAGCGCTCACCATTCACAGTTACGTTACCATTCGCATCATCTTTGAAGAAGTACGGTCCAATGATGCCACCAGCCGATAAGCCGCACCAAACTGGGACTTTTTCTGGATGCATTGGTAGCTCTTGGAATGCTTTTGGCTGAACTTCAATCCAAGTCTGCTTATTTATGCACCCATTTAACCAAATGCGCGTGTAAAGACGATTCATGGTTCAATTATAGATCAAACTGAAGATGTTTGACAGTGATACAAAACACGAAACGTGAGTCAGTTGTTTAGGCCCGTGTACCCAATCGGGTAATACAATGGTTGAAAAATAACCCATTATTTAATATTTGGTGGCATAGCCTTTCTGCTTTAACACTGCCTCTCACCGATTTCGCATTGATGTTAGAATTTTTCGGCGGCGGGCCCCTGATATTACTTGCCACGCCGTTCTTACTTCCACAAAAAGAGTTTCCATTTTTCGGACATTTTTGTCACTAACGACTTAGTGATGGCTATCATATAGTATAACTGTAATTTTAATCGTTATACCGTTGAAAATTTCCCATATAACAGACAAATTCTCCTCAGCGCAAGACACCGTGACATTTTCTAGTATGACTCCTTAGAGTTTTTTTATGAAGAGCTTTATTTCATGTCAGAAATACACTCGGAAAGGTTGACATTTCCTGCCGAGGAGCGACCGCAATTAGAAAATTTAGCTTATATTTTTGTTTAAATTAATTTCCTATACTTTTTGGATGCTGTTGGCATCAACATTTGAGGCCCGGCCTTCCGAATGGCAGTACTCAATGCTAACCCCTCGGCTATTGCGGCCTAACGCCAACTATAATACCTAAATTGAAAAAAATGAGCAAAATACAAGAAGCGGGTCCGTTATCAGATCGCAGTAATTTTTATGCTTTGCAGAAAAAAATTTAGAGGCATGAATAATATCAAACGTTTTAAAAAAATAGGTAAATTTTGCAATTGGATCTGTTTCGTGGAAAAACAAGGCAAGTTTGCAAAACTACATCTTTTCTTAATCTTGCGCCTTAAATTTATTATTAATATTAGCTGAAGTAATAATTTGTTCTTTATTCTTGCAATAGATAGCTTTATATGGCTTTTCTGTTCAAGTAAAAAAATTTACTTTGGTATTCAACTTTATCATTCAGTACATTTTATTACTATTTCATATTTTGAGTTCACGGCCACCCTATAAATTTTGTTACCTCCGAAATAGAAGGAAAAAACAATCTGTTGTTTGATTTTATGTTTTTTTATAAATAATAAAAATCGAAATGTGTAGGCATATTTTACGTCTAGAACATAATGAAGATGAAGAAAAAAATTCAAAAAGACGTATTTTAAGAGTTTTGCGAGAAAAATCTGACCCTTTTTTATTTAAAGATAGCGTTTTCATTCAACTTTTTTTGTCATCCTGGCATATTTTCCTTAATTAGGCTCAATGATTAATGACTAAATAAAAAAATGTAAAAAACTTGTTTATTGTGTTACGCTCCGTCTTCGATGTGAATATTCTTCTCCTTACTTTACCAACTGGCAAATGTAATATGGCATGGCAGAAAAAAGCAGTGCTTCCAACGTTTTTCAAACAATGTAACCTGTGCGCTAGAATACCAAATTCAATTTCGGGTGCTAAAATAAGTAAAAAAAATTTACTTTAGCGGTTGCGGCGAGTTTAGGCCTGTTAGTGACCTGTATCTCACGTTATATAAATAGGATTATACTACGCTAGATAGCTTTAAAAAGGTTATACTTTGCACTCACAAAAAACATTAACAGGCCTATTCTGTCGAGGTAACAAAATTAACCTATGCATTAAAATTTACCATTCAGTAAATTTTGTTACCATTTCTTATTCTGAGCTCACTGTTACCATGTAAATTTTGTTATTAGCGAAATTGGAGGTAACAAAAATATCTGCTATTTGATTTTGCGTTGTAGGTTCGAGAAAAAATAAAAAACCAAAATGGGTAGGCATATTTTAGGCCTGGAATTCATTGAACATGAAGAAAAAAGTGCAAAAAGCCGTATTTTAAGAAGTTTTCGAGACTAAAAAATAGCCCTTTAATTTGTAAAATAAAGTTTTCATTCAGCTCTTTTTGTTGTCCTGGCATATTTTTTATAATTAGACTCAAATATTTATGATTTAATAAACAAATTAATACAATTTTTTAATTTTTTTGTGCACCGTCTTTCATTTCGATGTGAATATTTTTCTTTTTACTTTATCAACTGGCAAATGTAATTTGACATGGATGAAAAATGCAGTGCTGCCAAGTTTTTGTCCAACATTGTAACCAGCAGTGCAATTCTGTAACTTTTATCGACACGATTTGTCGGATCGCAAAGTCGCGAATTTTGTCGCTTGCGCTAACGATTATGCTATTCTCTAACTCAGTTGTTACGATAATCGACATTGCACATTTCCATTTTATTAAAATGTAGGAAAGTTGGCACCACAGCTTAACGATACGTCAAAATGTACGAAAAACACAAAGAGGAATGACAAAAACAAATAAATTTGTTATTGAAATTATTTTTATTAAAAGAATAGCAATGCATTACAAAGTTTTTCAAAAGCATGTTATGGTTTGCACTTTCATGCATGACTCTTCGCTCTATAGGGGAGCTCTAAATAAAATAATTGTGCCGCGCTCTTGGATACTTGGCATTTGTCAGTATAATCTTGCGATAAGGACCACATATCTATGTGAAAATATAATTAACTTTGTTACTACAATAGTAATAGGAAACAAATTTACTCTCACCATTTGCACGTTGATGGAATGGTATCCATGGTGATTGGTATACGCTTCTTCATGATTTTTGGGACTCATGTGCAATCGATAGCTCCAATAGTGCCGCCAACAAATGGTGACGATGATGAAGCAAAAATTTGGAAAACTAACAGAAAACCTCGAATTGCGTCTGTTACGCGATGAATACAACAGTTTACTGACGACTGACTCATGGATATCCCCATTGCAAAAAATCGCGAGGTGGTTAGAACCTTTAAACATATTAATAGTGTTCAGACTAAAAAAAATGTTAAAAAAATATATTATTCCAGTTTCTCCGTAGACAATGCTGTTATTCTTCTTCTTTTTAGTTGACAATCTAGTTTAGAAACGATTTCTTCAACTAAATCCGGCGAAACTCGGTAGCATCCAAAAGAAAAGGATCTTCCGCTTCTCGACGCAAACTTCTATCCGATGGGTAGGATACCTCTTCATCTTGTGATAAATCCTATGTCAAATATTCAAAAGCCATTTATTTTAGTATTTTATTTTTATTTTTATATTACTTAGACACTTTACTCTCTTATATGAAATAACAAAATTTTGTCGATATCGCTAACAACTTAAAAATATTCGTCGCTTAGTTAGCGATTTTTCGAGTAGTTTACGAAAACAGCGAGACCGAATATCGTTAAAACAAGTACACCGAATATTAAAATCGTTAGAATTATCGCTAAGTCTTCTTTGCGATCCGAAAATCGTTATACTATTTTAGAGAATAGCGATTATCGTTAAAAATATCGTTAAGTCTTCTTTGCGATCCGAAAATCGTTATACCATTTTAGAGAATAGCGATTATCGTTGAAAATATCGCTAAGTCTAATTTGCGATCCGAAAATCGTTATACCATTTTAGAGAATAGCAAAATCGTTAAAATTATCGTTAAGTCATTATAACGATCCGAAAATCGTTATAATACGATAGAGAATTGCCCTACAGTTCGCCAGAATACCAAATTCAATTTCGGGTGTTAAAGAAAAGTATCAAAATTTACTTTACCGGTAACAGTGAGAATAGGCCTGTAAAAGGAAGGTGTTGCATAAAAATATTCACCCAACAACAGCAGTTCAAATGCAAGCGGTACAGCTATGTCGAGACTAATACTACTACAATAAGTATTATTTGCGCTTTGTAGGCAAACAGGGTAGCAGCAACAACAACACCAGTTCGATGATAGTTTCGGAGCAAGGTGAAGAGTCAAAACGTCGACTGGCATAGCCTGTTACATCAAACAGAGAACTTATAATAACGAGAAGGTTACAAATTCGTTGCAACACCGAGCCTTCCTCAAACATTTTCTGGAAAATCTCGAGAAAAGGATTCACATCGGCAAAAGGATTCACCACACTTGAGGTTACAGCCACTGACAAAGTTAGCAGAGATATGCATTCCTGCTAAGTTGTTCCTTGGCTTGGCAATTGTTAATATTTAAAATATTAAAATAATATTAAAAACTATATACTAAGTATTAAAATTAATAAAAAATATTTACCACAAACTTAAATATAGATATTAAAATGATTTAGAAAGTCCGACATAAAAAAATAAGTTGTACTATTTATTTTCATAGGAATAGATAGGGATTTAAATAACAAGTATCCTTAATATCGGCTATGTTACTTAAAATCTTGAGAACTTAGTTTAATGGATATTAAAAAAAATTAAATTGGAAAATGTAAAAAGGTAACATTTTAAAAAAATCATTAGATATATTAAATTAATTTCGAAAAGTCGATATTAATATATAAGTTGCAAAAATATTTATTTTAATAAAAAAATTTAAAGTTGTCCTTATGTACAGACTACAACTAGAATCGCATTTGTTGCTTCACAGTGCATATGTCCAACTATATATAATCACACACACAAGTACTCGTATTTCTTTCTTGCGTTGATTTTTTTTCGCGTTATTTTTTTTGAAAATTTTCATAATTTAAATCGGCGCAAGTTTTTT